TATATATATATATATATATATGGAATTGTTAAATCGTTTTGCTGAAACAGAATTTCACCCTTGAGACACTATTTAAATGCTGGTTTCAATAAAGTTTCTTGAAATTGTTAAAGCATTATCTGTCTGTCTTGCAGTTAAGAGGATAAATATACCTATCTCTATATTTGCATAAATAGAAGATTCTTATAGAACATCTGCTTCAAAGTGATTTTCTGCCAATTTATGAAAGCTTTTTTTTATAGAGAAATGTGGTGCTCTAATTTAGGTGGAGCCCACCTTTGACAGGGAAGCCAGTTTCACAGAGTTTTTGTGAAAATAAGAAATGCAATGAGTGAAGAAACCAGCAAAATACTTGGCGTACTTGGGGCAACTAACTATTCCAGTTTTCCTAGGATTGCTTGGGACTAGGGACAGTTAGTGTTCGAACTGGGAAAGTTCCAGGAAAGCAGGGTAAATCAGTCACTTGAATGGCATGTTGTTTCTACCAATGGGCCTTGCGGTCTTCACTGAGCTGGGGTGGTGGCTACTCTGACATCAATAGATATTTGGTTTTACAGCCTACAGCTGCAAGAGATAGTACATCCTGCTCTATTTTAATGGAGTCATACCTTTTCCTTTTAGAAGACATATTTAAAGCATAATTACACCAAAAATGTTGAGAGAGAGAGAGAGAGAGATTCCTTCACAAAACAACACTATTGTCTAAGTGATTAATGTGTTGACCTTTTCATACTAATTCATTTATATTCAACATCACTCTACTAAAGATGATATTAGGCTCTGCAAAATTTTATGATAAAAAAATTTATAAAGGGGTAAGTGAATACTTGTGGAATAAAGTATTTAATGTTTATAATAGCCCTATGTAGCAGGCATTATTATTACTATTTTAGAAACATCAAAACAGAGGTTGAGAGAAGTTAAGTAACTGACCCAAAGTCCCACACGTAGTGAAATTTGCAGCTAGGATTAGGGTCCAGTTGTCTGAAACAAATGATGTGTTTCCCTCCCTCCTGCCTCTGTGCATACTGTGTGTTCTCATTTTACTAAGGATTTTACCTGGATCCCATCTGGACCTGTGTCTATTAGAGAGCTGTGATTTGCAGCAATTTATTTAATTTCTTTAATCTTTAGTTTTCTCACTCATAAAATGTTGATCAGAATCCTGAAATTTTTGTGCTATGAATAAAAATTTTCTGCTAAGAATGAAAATCAGTATCTGGAGTTGGATATATAGTTGATAATAAATGTTCTCTCATAGCATCATATTATTTTGGGTGAGGATGCAGCTTAGAAGGCTTCACTCCAAGATTTATTTTTGTGGTCTTCTATCGGCTCATTCCAAATGTCCAAGTTCTTTGCACTCTTAGGAGGGGTGCCATGTGCACCATTTTCCTTCATTCTGTAGTAGCAAGTTGTGTGTTTTATAGTGGGGTGGATGCAGGTCTGGAGCTGGGTGGGCACTGTGGGGTGGGTAAGGCTTCTTCTTCGATTTCCTTTGCTCCCTTGTGGAGTGAGCAGACTGTGCCATGGCAGGAGCTGGGTGACAGGGCAGACTGCAGGCTCCTTCTCCAATCTGCAGACAACATTATTATCAAGACATTGCTGATGACATTTGCTTTCTCTGCCAGCTGAAAGTGCCAAGGACTATCTTCACGAGTTCCTGGAATAGATGCCTCTGTGCCCGAGGCCATTCTGTGCTAGACGAGCGTCCAGTAGAGGACTTTCCCTATTTGTCTATCTTGGGTGTTAAAATACTCTAAATCTAATTTTAGGTCAGTACGAATTTCTGTTTTGGTGAATTATTTTGACAAGTGTTTTGAATGAGGATTTTGAAATAAACATATTTTTCCCCTCAAAATGGATTCCAAGAAGCCCAAGTTAACCGTCTACAAAATTTCTCTGAACCAGCTATACCAGGTCAGATGAGAAATAACATTTTAAAAGAGATGCTTTAGTTGATCACTGCTTTGCAATTAATTCACCTTTAAGTGATTAGCTTTTGTTCCTTATATGAAAGGAAGTTCCATCTAAAATGTACATGTGTGGAGGATTTGTATGTTGGCCACTATTCTAGCAGGAAAGTAAAGGGTACTCAAAAATCAGAGCTATGCAGTCTCTCTTCATTCCCCTTATGATGTGGCTAGGACTGTGGGTCTGTTTACAGTGACTAGAAAGCATTTGGCCCTTGGAATGTTTTGGCAGATGTATGAGATGTTCTGCATTTGAATCCAATGATACTTTTTAAGTCTGTCAATGTGCGTGCTTTTACATAATTTCATGCTAATTGGTAAAGTTTCCAACCTTAGTTCTTTGACCAAAAGTAATAGCTTCAGTACCTGACTCTTAGACTAGTTGTGTAGGTTGTTAGCACAAAAGGAGCCCCTTTCTGCTAAACCTCCAGATGGCCTCTAAATTTGAAGACTGAAATCACATTTTAAGATCATATGCATTTTGATCTTTAGGTTTTGGCATATTTGCCTAAAAGCATAACTCATTTTAACTCATCACATAAGTCTTATGTGTTGGCAAATTGACTCAGAAAGCAAAAGGAACAGTTAAAGAGAAATGCTAATGTATAGTTGCTTTTTCATTTTTCTCTGATCCCATATATTGATTTTGATCTTCTGTGAGAAGAACTGAATTACTCATAATGCAGGGTGGAGATTATTGAGTATTTTTACTTTGAATATTGCATTATTCATGGTACACATGGGTATCAAAACTCTTTATGAAAAGTAATATGATGCCATTGTTATAATTTGTCTATATTGCTTGATCAAGTTCATCGCTGTCTTCAACTTCACATCTATTGCAAATAACTTCTTCTTCTGTCTCCAGGCTGCAAAGATAGAGATCTTTGGGAATGTCCATCTAATAAACAATGTTTGAAGCACACAGTGATTTGTGATGGATTTCCAGACTGCCCTGACAATATGGATGAAAAAAACTGCTGTATGTGATTTCGTGAATTTGTCACCATATTTTTAAAATTATAAATCCCAATTATCTCACTTGAAATACAAAGTGAAGTTTGTATCCAAAGCTTCTGATTTCTTCAGACCTTTTGACCAAACTTCTACTGGTAAAGATACATGCCAAGAAGACGATTGAATGTGTGTAAAATATATACACAATGATATGATTCTGACATTGTTTATAATATTCAAAAATTAAAGCACCCCCCAAATATCTAAAATACAACCACAAAATAATATACAAACACTAAAATCAAACTAGAGAGGGATAATTCTCCTGGATTCATTATGCATCTATAGTAGATGTATTAGCAAGCTTCTCAGTACTGTAACAAAATACTCTAGATAATCAACTGAAAAAGAGGAAGCAATTGGTTTGACTCACAGTATTGAAGACTTCAGCCCATGATCAGGGGGACCTACTGCTTGTGGGTCTGTATTGAGGCAGCACATCATGGTGAGAAACACAACAAAAATGATCTGTTTACTTCATGGCTGGATGCAGAAAGAGAGGAAGAGGAAAGGTCTGGGGTCCCAATATCTCCCTCAAGGGCACCCCTCAGTGACCACTAGATCTCCCAGTACACACTAGCTTTAAATGTTTAAGTGGAGCCACCATCTCCCAACACATCCACAGTCTAGGAACCTTTACCTTTAGTTACTGGGTCTCTGTAAGACACTTAGCCCACTGTAACTATATATATAATGTATATATAATATATATACATTATATATATAGTTATATATTATATGTATATATTATATATTATATGTATATATGAGAGAGATCAGAAGTTCATAAATACTATAAATCTCTGGGTGCTAGAATTATTAACTTTTGTGTGGTTTTAAAAAATGTTTTTACATGTAAATGAATAGTCATTGTCTTTGGAAACAAACGAAAATTTATATCTCTTAAGATTATTTACTTACAAGTAACAGAAAGCCAAACTCTGCCAAACAATGGGATACTTATCATTTTTATTATCATGTGCATCCCATATGCTTTATGTCAGCAGATAAGAAGTCAAGGAAGTGTAGGGTGAATTCTCCAGGCTGCACATGGGAAGCAGTACTTTGTAATTCCTCTTATTTCTGCTCAACCTCACTTTGACTGGTCAAAAGCCAAGAGCACTTAGGTTGCCAGTGCCTTCGATCACCTCCAGTAGGAAGGAGAGACATCTGCTCCTACCCTTGGAACATCACTGAAGGATTCATTCAGGTCAGCTTGGAGCAGAGTCGCAGCTAGAAGTCTGGACCCTTTGCGTAGATTAGAAAGATACCATCCATGAACAACAGAATTCCAAATCGGAGCACCATGCAGGGAGAACTAATTAGGAGAAAATGCTATTCCCTTCAGGCTGTGTGTGTCCCTTTCTTGTGGCTTGGTCAGCAGAGTTTGGGAAGGAGCTGTTTAGCAAAGCACAGCCCATGAAAGCACAGTAAAAGTCTCTGCTCTTGGGTCATATGTTTACTTTTAGACTAATAATTGTACTTGGGGAAGAATAATTGTAATTTGGAAAATGTCATGCCCAGGTTAAAGTAATCCATCTTCCCCTGGAGCTGCGGATGGCAGGTGTGGTGTGCTGAATGAAGTCAGGTTTCATTTTTAAAAAGAAAGGAAATGGATGCTGTGCAGGCAAAGATATTTCCTATAGTTTTTAAAAATCCAAGAGAGAATTGTGTCTGACTCAGAGAGTAATTTAATAGTAGAGATTTAAAAAAAAATAACCGCATCCACTTGTATGAACAGAGCTTGTCTTCTTCCTATGGCTGCTCGAGTCTCCTTGTTCCTGTTGTTTTTCTCATTCAGATTTTAACCCTGTTCCTTAGGCCTTGGTGTTTCTGCTACTAGGTCGGATACCCTTCTCTTTTTCAATCCAGTTGTTAAAACTAGAGAATCTAGGCACTTGGAGACAGTAATTCTGTTTAAATATTCGAATGAGTTGATATCTAGTCTATGAGATCGTACAACTTCTGGTATTCTGCACTAATACCTGTCCGAGGGGTTCAGTGGTCACATATTTTCTTCCTGCCATACACCTGCTGGTAAATGAGGGTGTGCGTGTTGGCAACAGTCACGTTTACTTCCCCAAAGTTTCAGTCTTCTTACTCCCCGCCACCAGCATCTTGCCAGGACGATGAACTGGAATGTGCCAACCATGAGTGCGTGTCACGTGACCTGTGGTGTGACGGAGAAGCCGACTGCTCGGACAGCTCGGACGAATGGGACTGCGGTAGGCTGCCAGCGCCCGCGCCGTGCCTGTGGGCCACTTAAGCTAAGCGAATCCTAAATTACTTCGTGGATTTTACTAACCAAGTTCATCTATCATCACTGCCATAAAGCTGGCGGTGGTGATGCATGGATGTTATTTCTAAGTCAACGAAAATCCTTCCCTCGTGTTACTTCTGTATAAAACCTGGGATTCAGATTTGTGCAATCATATAATTTTTTAACTAGATTTTCAAGACTCTTTTTTAATCACTCAGTTTCAATAATGATCAATGTTCGGTAATTCTTCGATCACTGACACCTCTTGTAAGAGGATATTAAGGGGCTGTTCTACCTGGTTTATGCTTTTGCTCTACATGAGAAAGAAACTTCTACCTATCTAGGTCCTTGCTTGAACAGGACTTCGTGGCATCTCCCACCCGTATTGCCCATAGGCAGTTTGTAACCTTGAGTTACCCGATTGATTGCTTACTCGACTTTCACCGTTCTTTTCATTCACTCAGTTCTTTTTTCAGTGCTTTGTATAATTTGGCCAATCATGACCTTTGTGTGCTACGTTCAGTTGCAGTGTTTAGTAAACGATCTGTGCCTTACAAAGGACAGAGACTGCTTTTTTGTGAAATAGGGATTACTGCACGTTCCATGTAAACCCTAAATTGGCATCACTCTCACACCCTTCCAATCTCATGTGCTTCCTCCAAAGGAAATGCTACAAATGGAGTTACCCCTACCTCCTTATAATTAATTGCACAAGTCCCTGGGTAAGATCAAGAGAGTGGGCCCTGCCTCTGACAGTATTCTGGCTTAAGGAAAGTCAAGAGCTTCCTATTTCACTAGCATTTACCATTCTTGGAGGACAGAGAACATTTCTAATTCATTTTTTCTTAGTCTACTTTCACACTGAGAGCAGTGATCTGCCTCTGGTAGGAACTCACCAAAAGGTCTTTCATCCACGTAAATAAGCATGAAGATATGCATTCGAAGCAAAAGAATATAAAGTTATTGTGTGGTTTCATGAGAAGAAATGTTTTTACTTAGGGTTTCCTGCCCTTCTTTTCCTCAGTGACCCTCTCTGGAACTGTGAACTCCTCTTCACTCCTGAGTGTCCACCGAGCTGCAACAGAGTACTACGTGTGTGCGGATGGCTGGCGGGAGACACTGAGTCAGCTGGCCTGCTCGCAGATGGGTTTAGGGTAAGGTCAGTAGTTTGTAGCACTGATGAATTTCTGAGGGCCTCGTGGACCTGGGCAGTGCTCTCTTCCTTATGAATGCATAGTGACTTAGTTTTCTCAAACAAAAGAGGACTCCCAAGCCTGGGAAAGGAATCAGGTAAGAGGACTTCATTTAATCACAGGGACCTGCTGGGAAGAATATGAGCTAACAACCTACTTTGATGAAGCCTCTAAAAGTAAATGAAGTGGTTGTATTTTAAGTACCTCTGAAATGAAATACTTTCATTATTTATAAAAGCATTAAGATGGTTTTCTCCATGGAAGCTGGATGGAAAAATTTCCATCTTGTAATTTCTCCTCAAGAGGTTATTGAAAATTCCTTTTTAAGAGACACACATTTTCTTTTTAAATTCAAGGGAGAGAATTTGAGTTTGCTGGTATTTCTATTTACCATAAGTAATACAGGAAATGTAAATCAAGAAACAATTCACCATTTTTGCTCTCTAATAGCACGAAAAGATGCAATTGAGATTTGTTACAAATTCACAGAAGTGGGTATTTTGACATTTAGAGACCTCTTTTGTGAGGTTTTACTTTCTTAGTTCCTTGAAGGATGAAAACAACAATTTGCAAGGGTCTTAGAATAGATATGTGAGCGTGTGTGTGTGTGTGTGTGTGTGTGTGTGTGTTTGTGTGTATGTGTGTGCGTGTGCGTGCATGCTGCTGGGGCTCAAACCCAGAGCCTTGTGCACATGAGGCAGGCACTCTACCACTGAGGTACATCCACAGCCTTGAAATTGGAACTTTATCATGCACTCAGATCAAACAAAAATGGATTAGAATTAAAAGTAAGGCCTAACCATGCAAAATTCATAGAAGTAAATAAAGTGGACAAGTTTTATGTGATTGATCTTGGCAATGATTTTAGGACATGAAAAGCATATCCATAAAATATTTAATATATTAATATTTCTACAAATGATGCATATGGGATTTTTAATAAATGAAGAAATGAGGGAAATACAAGTTAAATAGCTAGAATAAAAAAACTGAGCAAATGGCATTTTCTAGGATCCACTGAGCTAACATGTAACAGTTTTACAGTAGTGAGCCATCTGATCACGGGAGAGCATTGCAGCACATTTATGTCACCCTAGTTTGAAGAATTATGTACCTCCCAACATCTTCAGCCCATTTCTCCTATGCAAAGGCCCATGTCTTTGGAAAATTGAGTAACTGATGCTGATCTACAATAAAAGAACTTTAAACTTTGCCAGTGTGGAAAAATTATATTTGTCAGTATCCATTCAATTATACTCTATTTTCACAACTTCCTGATTCTGTCTAAATGCAATGGATACAACTGTAATCAATGGTAAATGAAAGTGCTTGTTTTTATCTTTCACTAAGAACCAAAGGTACTGCTTAATATGAAAACTTAATTATACAATAGTGCCAGCGATTCCTATAGTCTCTAGTGTCCATCTGCCCAGTGTGTGATGCAAGGTTGAAGAAAAACTTAAAACAGAGTGAAAGAGAAAGTGTGAACGGCAAAAGGCACTGGCCTGCGTCACCCACTGAATTTTTTATTCATCAATTAGGGTATAGGTACAATATCTGCAGGGTTTGTCATTACCATGGAGACTAGTGCAGCAAGGCTTTAAAGAGAAGAGTCAAAGCATTTTCAAATTAGAAGCAAGATAGACAAAATACATGGTTGTAATTGGAGCAGTGTCCTTCAAGCTATGAAGGCACTAATCGTGGGAATGGAATTTGGGTGCGATTTACTCCGACCTTAGCTGTACCTTATCTTATTAGCTCCACAGCTTCACAGGTCAGTACTCTGGTCTTGGCTGTAGCCATTACCAGGGAGGCCGTGTTACCCGGGGCGCTGCCCCAGTGCTCTTGACTAAGTCCGTAAGCCATGGAGCTTCCGTCCCACTGGCTTCTGAAAGTCAGCCAGTTGGGATTTAACTCTTCGCAGCCTGCTCTGCTTACAGCATGTTTTGGGTATAATCAATATTGTGGGCTCTGGCATAATAATAGAACATAAAGTTTTAAAAACTTCTACGTTTTTGTCATCTGGGAATGTTTCAGGCTTAAGGCAGGGCACATGGAATTCTGATTAAAATGATGTAAGAAAAGCCTTCATCTCCCCTTTTGTCTTGAAGTGTAAATTCATTCTGTTATCCAGGAAGCATATCTAAGGAATGGTATTGTAATGGAGGGTCCAAGTGGGTCAATCATCTACTCATATGGGTAAAATTTGGAGGTAATTCACCAAGAATTCAGGTCTACACCAAGTGACATATTTTACTGGGATTTCACTGAAATGCTTCCATGGCAGAGGCAGTTGATTAAGAAGAACTGAACTTAGGATTTTCAGACCCCAGTTAGGCCTCCATGTCTTATAGTACAAGTGTTAATTCTCCATGAAGCGCTTGTCTGAATGAAAAATTTCATTGTTCTTTGTCAAATCTGAAAATTTTGTACTCTCATCTGTAGATGAGACGTTTTAAGAGTTCACCTCAGGCTGGAACTACAGTGGCTACTTGGTTAGACAAAGGTATAAATAAATTCCATAAATTCTCTTGATGGCATGCTGACTTTGCTACCTACATGGCCAATATAAAAAACATATGGGCATTTATTTAATCAACAGTACAGGTCAGAATTTAGACTGCCCTCTTGTACTTGCCAAGTGCTCAGTTGAGACATCTGGTATTTGAGAACTTAGTCAAAGGGATGTGACTCTCCGTGTCTCTTGGCTCCATTAGTTCTATCTCTATACAGAATGAGATCATCTGGAAACAGTATGTCTGGGCTCTACTATTTTGGCAAACATTCCTTATGGAGTTAGTTGTAATTTAATTTTGTATTCCCAACTTTTAGAGTTTGTCAGTACCAGTGACTTCCTTTTGAAGAATGTTTCTATGTCTTAGGCAAAGGTGTAGTCAAAGCAGCATCTGTTATATTACCTAACAGTCCCTAATATTGCCTGATACAAGGATTTACATTGTAATTTCCTCCTCAGTTTATTTCCAGGAAGAAGTTTCTCACTTCACATTTCTTTTGTCACACAAGAACTTTTTACTCTAGGACAGTTTCCTTATTAATGGACTTTTGTTAAACTCACAGTTGGATGACACCCTCTTCAACAATAAGTCTATACCACATCCTTTAAATATAAGCCATGGAGAAGCAGCTCAAAAAATCATCATGATTTTTTTAAAAATTGAGATTATAATTCATGTGTTATAAGATTCACTCAAGAAAGGCATACACATCAGGTGTTTTTACTGCATTCACAAAGTTATGCAATCATTAATAATGTTTAATTCTAAAATATTTTTATTACTCCCCAAAGAAATACCATACTCATTAACTTAATTTCTTTCTCCATCTCTTGACAACCACTAATCTACTGTCTGCCTCAGTGAATTTTCCTATTGTGCACATTTCATGCAAATAGAATCATGCCACGTGTGACCTTTATGTCTGCCTTCTTTCACTTACCTGTTTTCAGCATTCGTTCATCTTGTAGTACATATTAGTATTTCCTCCCTGTTTATGGTTGAATAATGTTCCATATTTTGATGACCTGTTTATCAATTGATGGGCAACTATTTACTCCCATTTTTTTGCTATCATGCTGATATAAACAATCACGTAAATATTTTTATGTGAATATGTGTCTTTAATTTCTTGGATAGCATACAAGTAGGACTAGAATTAGACCGGGGCAGTGGTAACTCTATGTTTAATTTTTTGAAGAACTTTTCCAAAGAGGTTGTACTATTTTATAGTACCTTTAACAATGCACGAGAGCTAACATTTCTCCATATCCTTGTCAACACTTATTATTATCCATTTTTATTATAGCCATCTTAGTAGATATGAAGTGCTATTTTTATTGTGATTTTGATTGTATATCTAATAACTAATTATGTTTAGCATCTTTTCATGTGCTTATTTGCTACTGGTATGTCTTTTGAGAAGTGTCTATTTAAGTTTTTTGTTTTATTATTATATTTGAGTAGTATATATTTCCATTATTTAATATATGAGCAGTTACAAAGTCCTATAATTTTCTTTCTAAATGTTTATTTTGTTCCTTTTCTCTCACTTATTTATGATATGCACTCATACTAGTCACCTTTCCTGATACTGGGACAAAATACCCAAAACACATAATTTTTTTTTAAAGATTTAATTTGGCTTATGGCTTTAGACGTTCCAGTCCATAGTCGGGTGGCTCCAAGGCAGGAACATCATGGTAAAAGGATGAGGTGGAGCCAAGATGCTCCCTTCATGGCAGTTGGGAAGCAGAGTACAAGGAGAGGTCATCAGGGAGAAATATGTCCTCCAAATGCACCTTCCCAGTGACATACTTCCTCCAACTAGGCCCACATAAGCTATGAACATCAGTGGATTAACCACTGGTAAGTGTGGTAACACTGTGATCCAGTCACCTCTCCTGGAATCTGTTAATCCAGTCAAATTGACAATAAGAGTAAATGATACAACATTTTTACTTAGTGCGTATCTCCTAGGTACTCTTCTAGATGCCTGCAATACAATAGTGAACAAAAAGCCAATTATTTTTGCCTTAAATTGCTTGTATATAATTGGATGCATTAAGAATCTATATAAATAATATATAATAAGAATCTATAAATAGTATAGGAGTAGAAAGGGGTATGAAAAAGTAAAAGAGGAAGGTAAAAGACAGTAAGGGGTTCCAAAGTGTAGAGTTAAGTTGGATTTTGCTTTTAAATAGGATGATAAGGTAAACCTCACTGAAAAAGTGATAGTGTGGCAAGGATGTGAATTAGGTGAGAGACTTTCCAAGTAGTTATGGGAAAAAACATTCCATTCAGAGGGAGCAGTCGTATCAAAAGTACTTAGGAAGGAATATGCTGGGAACAAGGAAGCCAATGAGGTTAGAGTAAAGGAGTGGGTAGAGTGGTAGGGGCTGATGTTGGAGAGAGAATGGGCTTTAAGAACTTTGGCTTTAAGAA